ATATATTATATAAAATATTATATATTATATAAAATATTATATATTATATAAAATAATATATAAATATATAACGTAAAAAGCCATGTTATTTTTTGCTAAATAATAAGTTAACAGATGGCGCCTCATATCTGTCGGGCTGTCCTTCCAACAAGTTTAAGCAAAAGCAAATAAATGAATCATTACACAATTTAGTGGAAATGTACATATTTAAAAAAGACACTGTTCAATTTACGGATGGTCAGGGTCACGAAAATTCTATTTTTTACCCTTGATCATAAAAGAAATGAATGGAATGTGCATGAATAATGACGGGCGATTCAATTATATCTTGAGGGTATTCTGCAGCACTAACAAAAATATGCCCGAATACGACTGACGATTCCATTATTTCATTAGTTTATGCTGCGGTTTCCCACAGGGCGAAGGTATGCACTCTCTGAAGTGACTGCTATAGTTATATTTGTAGTAGTTCCTGATAGTAAGAATTCCCACCAGAAGCCCCCAGCTATGGAGTTTGCAGTCGTGGGAGAGTAAGTAAATGGATCGGTGTATTTTCTCAGATTTGAATTACCTAACATTGGAAAATTAATTGATAATTTATTCTAATTATAATTTATTAAAAATTTAGGTGACTTACATCCTGATGAACAAAAGGAATCTGCTGACATTATGCTAATGTTAGATGATCTTCAATGCGTGTTGTTGGACCGTGAGAGTTTTTGTACTAATGACGTAGTGGATATCATCAGTGGTGTAAGACAGATGGTTTATGGCAATCTAAACTGTAGGCAAAATATATTCCAACACATGACTAAGAAGGAATGGCCTGGTGAGGGATTAAACTTATATTAAAATGAGCGCTTTACGTTCTGCCAAAGATTGTAAGATCTTTGGTTCTACATACACGGCAGTGGTAGCGCCAGTGAAGGTAGAGGGGGAGGAGGAGGACAGAGGATGGCAGCTTCGCTCCCCACGTTTATGTAATTTTGACAGATTATGGTACTTTGAAATTGATTAGATAAGCCTCGTTTTGGAGCTTTGGGTATAAAGTCTCGGCGCCTCCAGGGGTCCTGGATGCCTGATCTTTGCCCTAATCACGTTTCCTTTGGGCCATGCATTGTGTACCTACCTCGAATGCTGATACAAATAATGATTGAATGTTAGATAGATTACATCGTTTATGATGCCAATTATGTTCTATAATGATTATTATGGCTAATTCTTGACATTTTGCTAAACTATGTCCCAGAAGGGAAAACAAGTTGCTTGGTGAATACAGTAACGCGACTTCCTCCATCTGGAATATTCTGGCGCCACCACTGAAATATTTAGTGGATTAGTACAAAGCTTATTTTGGTGAATGTATTGTAGGTTTCAACGAGTTGCTAGTGCAATGTAGCCTGTGCGGGGCATGATTGGTCTAAATCAATTTATTATTTTATTTTCTTCATTTTACTTTCTTCACAGATTTATTTGTCCGTATTATATCTGATGTGTGGTCACTAGGCGAAGATGTAGGCCTCTACACCAATGAGGTGTCATGGTCAATCCTTGAAAATGCAATCACTATGCTAACAACCTACAGCGACGCTGATGTTGACTTTGCAGATGCCCTCATCGAACACGGAGCATTAAAATTAGTGTTTAAAATTGCTGCTGTATATTATATTCATCTCCTTGAAAAGGTATATCGTATTTAAGCACGTCTATGTCAGTGGAACGCCTATGCGCTCTTGGAGGCGCAATGGCCACATCCCCACAGAATCCTCGATCTAGCATTGTGACCAAATGACCTGGTTGATATATAACATGGTATTTTAGAATACACAGATTTTCTATATAAAATCGTTCAATTTATATACACTTTCTATATACAGTAATTGTATAGAATTTCTATTCGCATATTTAATGTATTTTTATAGGTTTTTTTCTATAAAATGTTTATAGATTTATAAGTGGTTTTTATAAAATTGTTTATAGATTTTCTATAGTTTTTTTTTAAAGGTTTTTTTTATATATAATTATTATAGACTTTCTATAGAATTTTAATAGAATTTTCATAGTTTTTTATATAATTTTTATAGATTTTTAAGTCTTTTAATATAGTTTTAATATATTTTTTATAGATTTTTTATAAATTTTTTATAGTTTTTTTTATATTTTTTAATAGATTTAATAGTTTTAATAGAGTTTTAATAGATTTTTAATATAGTTTTAATAGATTTTTAATATACTTTTTATAGTGGGCTTCTATAGTTACTTCTATAGAATTGTCTATAGATTTTCTAAACAATTATGCTATAGACATTCTATAGTTTTTTTTTTATAGAATTCTATAGAATTTTTTTGTATGGGGGCCGCCCTGCACTTGTCTTTTCTTTTTTTTTTTAAGAAGAAAAATTATACTTAAAATTGAAGTATGTGAGCACCATTTCAGGATTCTATAATCATAATGTGGGTAACCTTTCATCTGAGAAAGTCACTCTCCATGGAAACGTTGTATCATTTGCTCTCCAAGGTCGCCTTAACCATTTTTGGTACAGAATCTATGATTTTCTTGTAGTGGTCTAAGCGGATTATGTTGTAAAAAATATTAATCTTCCTCGTGAAGAGATTTTTTTATTTAATTGCTCTATCCTAACTACCTGTACAGCAGTTCGCTGCTTTCGTGATAGCTGAACTAGCAGATGAAAAGTGGCAAAAACAATTTCCATATGCCCTCCCTGGAACCCCTTTATTTTCAGGTTCCTGGATCTCCCACTTAATTCATTCGTTAAAAGCATTTTGGGGACCAAGACCTGAAAAGGGCCCCAGTCTCACAAAGACAAAGGCTCCCGGCTCCAGCGTTACGCCTTTATTCATGCTATTGAATCCAGGGACTCACTAATACCACAATATCCCAATACTTAACATTTAAGTTTTAATTTGTTTAAACCCTGCTCAGATTGCATCTTGAGATTAAAAAAAAAAAAACCCAATATTCTATTTTTCTAGTATGATGGTATAAATGCGTTGTTATACGTTTTGATTTGGACAGCACATTTTCCAGAGTAGCAAAATTCAGTGTCACCACAAGCTTTCGTTTATACAGTGATTTTCATTAGATGCATATGCCCTTATCAGCTGTTTATAGAACCATAGATCATATTTTTTTGTAAATAGGCCACTGCCCTTCAAGAAAAAGTTGCTGAATATCGAGGAGAGGCCATGCAATGGAATAAAAAACCAGAAGCAAATGAGCAGAAGGTGACTCACGCAGAAGACGATTTGTTAAAACTTAAGACGACGGAGGATAGTGTCCGCAATAGCAGTTACTCTGACAAGCCTGACCCAGGTTCAACACCAACAACAGAAAACGCAACAACAAGAGAAGTATTAACGATTGTATAATTTTATTATACAAACAGCGTAAGTTGTTATCGTTCACAAATTAAATGATAATCAATTAAAGATATTGTAGTGATATGGCCCTTATTTTCATTCTCGTTTAGTGTACCGGGAGTCGTGCTTTTTACACTTTGAAGACCTGTCAGCCAGTTCGCGTGTGTCAACGAGGATTCAACTATTGCATACCGAAAAGATAGCGATATGATTTCTAACAGGGCTGTTTTTGTTTCTAACGAACCGATAAAGCCATTGAAACTATTTGAGCTAAACATTGACAAAATTAAAGTACAGGAAATTTCCTCAATGGAACTAGGTAAAAGCACAAGATTAAACAGTAAAAATGTTTTGTTATACCGGTACATTATATAAAACTATGTATACAAATGTAGACTTAGGCCTATATAGCATTTTTTTTTATTAATTCATAAAATCACAAGTTTTATTTTTTTCAAATTTAATTAACGGTCTTAAATTCTATATTCCAAATTAAATAATTCTATAGAATGGTATCATGATCATATCTGTATGCTTCCAAGCACACTATCTTCAATTCATTGTTTAAACTTAATTATAGACGAATCCAAGAAGAATGGCGCCATCTTTTGTGGACGCCATTACTGTGGAGTCCCTACTCCTAAAATGGCAATGCGGTGTGCGCGTATGCGTTGTGGTGCATTATAAACTGACGGCATTATGCTGCTACTGTCGAAGAAAACAGTATTTCTCAACTACTTAGGAAATGCCACCCTAGTAATGGCGACAAAAGAGGGCGCCATTCAGAAAAGTTCTCTTGGATTCGTCTACTACTGTATATATCACATGAATTATAGTTCTAACATTCACATACCAGTCTATAGGTTCGTCGGCCTGAATCCGATTTGATTTGTTTTGCCTCCCAGGTTTTCTTTTTGATTTGTTAAGATTCGTTCTGTTGTGTCCCTATACTTGTGTTTATTTTCTCTGTCCCTTCTTTCTTTTTCAGGCTGTCCCAATACAATATTATTTTTTCTTATCTTGTTGGGTCTTTGCATTTTCCAGCTAGTGGGTTAAAAGTTGTAGGTAAAATTAGCAAATAATATTCATGGAACAATACATCGATATAGATGCATTCATTGTGCATCGAATATTTTGCAATAATAGGAAGGCCAAGATGATGCATTTTTAACAAACGATCAATTGAAACATTGTTGGTTGTAGGTGTTTGTATGTACAACGAATTTCCAGAAGGTACATTTTATGCTGGAAAGAAATATGGCCAAGGAAGAGGATTCTGGTTTTTAAGGTGAGTTTTATAATGAATGACATTGAGGCTGTGACTAAATTGTAGAAGCTGTGACTAAACAAATACTTAAAATGTACCTTTATATTACAGTGAAAACAAGCTGTGTAAAGATTTTGCAAGTATTGGTGGCGGTTATAAACTTAACCTATGCAATATACGTGTTAATGACAGAGTAGGGTTTGTCAAATATCCAGACGGAACTATGGGTTTTCTGTATAACGGGCAATACCAGGGAATTGCTTTCCGCAATATACCAGAAGGTAAGACTTAATATGGGTCATTCCACATTTTCACTTGAAATATTATATAAACTCTCCTTATATAAACTCTCCTTAGTGAAACGCAATACAACGTTGTCATTTTAGATCATCATTATATCACTTTAATGCATATGGATCTCTTGATTTCCTAAATGGTTAACTGCTCTCATAAACAGCTGGTTTCGCATCGTGGTTTGGGGAAAATCGGGTTTTGCCTTTACATTATCATCATATTGGGAACTACTGCTTCGATTTTGTTGCTTAACTACCATATTAAAGCTGGAGCAATACTAAATATTATGATATAATTCTTAAATTATAAAAACAAGAATAAAGTCCGTCATTTTGACATTTAAAACATCAACATTGCGAACCGCCAACAGTACGAGTCGATTTTTCACCATGTTTTGTGAAAGGGCAATGTTTTAACAATGTGATTGTGGTCACTTATTGTAGGCATTTGAATTTGTACCCGCCACATCAATATATATGAATATTCATAGATTCTAATGATTTTTATTCCAATTGGTCAAAAAATATCTACGTCAAATGTAGGCCTAACATTTTAAAAATGAATGAAATCAAGAAATTCTTACCAAGGGACCTTTATCATTATTTCAGAGGGATAACAAATTAAATATAGGAATAGATTAATTGACTAATTTTCTGTACAATATATTAACCTTGTTTAGAATTGTAAATATAATTTGTAGGTAATATATAGGCCTTTAACTAGTTTTAATTAACATGTATCTTTTATTTAAAAGAAAAAAAAAACTTCCTGTATTTGTCGTCGAATAAAAATTTACCCGTTTAATAAAAAATAAAATTCCAAATGGACAATTTCTTCTGACTGCTTTACTACCGTATCAGATATTTTGTCTGTGTTTAGATAGCAAAGCAGATTGTATGTAGCTTAAAAGGTCCATATGAAGAGTACGTAAACTGTTAGCTCCGATTTTTTTTTGTACACTTTTTCGCCGCATACAAAAAGTGTTTAATAAAAAATGTCAGAAATCTTGAATATACCTTCAGAAAAGGGGCTGAGCTAACAAAGGGAAAACAATTAGTTGATACATGATATGGGGACTTTTTATAGTGTACATTTTATAATGACGTGATCACCATCAAACATGCTTATGAATGATACAACTGTTTAATCGTAATACAATACCAAAACCATGCTATCGTTATTTTACTAAGGTAACGGGTGAAATCTGCGTTTGTAATGTTCTGGATTAATGTTTTATTTTTAATTATTTTTATTGTTCAGGTGTTTATGGATTGGTTGCTATAACTGGAAAATGTGTGAAAGTATCAATATCTGATAATTCTGGGATTAGCATTCAAGAAGAAACATCAGTTCATACATTTAATGAGCCAATGGGTAAGTCATGTTAATTCTGTGTAGTACTCAAAAGCATTTTTATTTCATTATCAATTTCAATTCAATCGTAATGATAACTTAATTCCATGTAATCCCTGTTGTATTTTTTGTTCTGTAGAGTCATTTTCTGTTAGGACAGCCGATGCCAAATCGGTAAGGTTTTCACGATTACGTCAGCCATATGGACTCGACTTTATAAACGAAGAAACACACAAGGAAATGAAAGATGTGTACAAAGAAACAGGTATTAGAACTAAATAATCATTCCATGAGTATAATAAGTACGGTAGGCCTTATGCAAACTATCTGTTTCAGAAACAGTAGAGCCCTCTAATATAATACAGTTAAATATGACATTGAATTGTAATTTAAAAGCCTGTGATCTTTAAATGAGCATCAAACTTATTCAGTGTTGCTAATACAAACAGCTTAGAATTGATTACCAAATCTGGTAGTGTTTTATTTCCACTGTTTCCTATTCTCGACTGATTATCGATATTTATTGTGATTTTTGTGTCTCGTGTGTAAAATAAGCGCAAATCTGGGGTGATTTTACTACAGCACATCACGATGGAATATTTCGATGCTAGGCTAAGCTATGAACTCACACAGCAAACCTAACAAATCTCGTTAAGCCTAGACCGTGCTAGGCAAGGCTTAGAGAGTCAACTATAAAATTATTGACTTATAATAGAACTAAAAAAATTAAGGCAGCGCTGAAATGATTCCTACTAATATTAACAATACATTTTAATCTATTAAACAAATGTCTACCAGGAGGTTAGTCCTACCTAATAGCCGCTAATAAACTTAATTAACCATAAATTTATTGATTTCGTACTACCACAGATACTAGTATCTCCTATAGTGTACTCAAAACTTGACTACAATTGCTTAATATATATATATGAATATATATAAAAATATTAAAATTAATGTATATTATATATATA